TTTATTTTATTTTGGTGATATGAGAGTGGCTGGTGAGGAATTGAATACAGCGTAGGCCCAAGTTTTAGATGTGGCTTTACATTCTGAAATATGTAACAGGAGTCTCAATAGCCGTGCCCCATAGGAAGGTCCAAACATCCCAGTACTTTTCATTTTCAGCACAATTTTTTTTCAAGCTCTTCAAGATTAAGAGCTTGAAGAAAAGCTTTCTTTCTCTCTTTCTTTCTTTCTGGTGAGGAATTGAATACAGCGTAGGCCCAAGTTTTAGATGTGGCTTTACATTCTGAAATATGTAACAGGAGTCTCAATAGCCGTGCCCCATAGGAAGGTCCAAACATCCCAGTACTTTTCATTTTCAGCACAATTTTTTTTCAAGCTCTTCAAGATTAAGAGCTTGAAGAAAAGCTTTCTTTCTCTCTTTCTTTCTTTCTTTCTCTCTCTCTCTTTCTTTCCTTTGTATTGAGACAGATAGCTCACAACAAATATTTCTTGTGGGAACATCCCCCTCCTGAACTGTTGTGAGTATTTCAGCTAAACTCAAAGACCAAAAGGCTCCTGCTAATAAAAAAAAGAAGCCACTGTGATCTTGCAGTCCCTGACTATTCAGCTAATATCAACCTACAGGACTTCAGTTTCCAATTCCAAATTCACTCTGTTCACTACAAGCTTTGTTTCATCACACTGTGGGCATAATGAAGCTGTAATGCAACTATTATGCACTTGCAAGTGAATTGGCTAGCAGGCCAGCAGTCAGAAATAATTTTTGGACTTAATTATTATGGGGGACCTAGGACAGATGATGTCAAAGTAAGGAATGGGATGCACAAGTTTATGGTGAACTAAGGCACAATTCTGTAGCATAAAAGTTTGATGAGGTATCTTGGAGTTTAGAGGAAATCTGTGTACATATGGGTTTTTTTTAAATATGTCCATTCTTAAGTTTGGAAATATTTCTGGATTTCATCACAATTCTGGATATCCCTATGACAAACCATAGATAGAAGAATATGTTATGTATTATATGACATCAAGTTGTGTCTTATACCACCCCTAATAGGGCTTTCAAGGTAAGTGAGATATTTAAGGAGCAGTTTTACATAGCTTAATAAGTTAGGAATCTGCCTGTGGAGCGAGAAATAAAGAGTTTGGTTCCCCATTATGGAGAAAAACTAGCCTATGTAGCCTTGGGCAAGATGCAGAGTCCTAGGATGTCCCCAGAACAAGGGAATGATAAACCTCTTCTCTATTCTCTTTCTCTAGAAAACTCTGACAAAGGGTTGTCATACGTTAGAACTGACTTGATAGCACACAATTACTATATTTACCATTTACACAGACATATCCACAATTGTACATGGCCAAATGGATATTCAAATGCAGATCTCCTGAGAACTAGTCCATCTACTATACCAGTGGTCCCCAACCTTGGGCCAATAGCTGTTCCTGGACTTCAACTCCCAGAAATCTTGGCCAGCAGAGGTGGTGGTGAAGGCTTCTGGGAGTTGTAGTCCAAGAACACCTGGAGGCCCAAGGTTGGGGACCACTGTACTATACCATACTAGAGAGTAATTTTTTAAAATTCTACACATGAAATTACTATTCCAGTTCCTGGGAGATGGGATGTGCTGTTATCTATCGATGTATCAATCTATCGATGTCCGTCCGTTCGTCCATCCGTCTGTCTGTCTCCTTGAATATTTCAATGTATCAATCTATCGATGTCCATCCGTCTGTCTGTCTCCTTGAATATTGCCATGAAATGTCAATGTGTATTCAGTGCAGTGGTTTGGCTTTTATCAGGGATTCATTCTTGAAGACACTTCTTCACCTTTGACTTCACTGTGAAATGTCTGATTTATTACTGTTGCAAACTGTTTTTGGCAGTTTGTAGGGATGGAAAAGCAGTGTAGAAAATCTCAAAATAAATAAATACACATTTTACTTTGTTGTTGACCACTATATTTGAGAAAATTATACCTTCTGGATATGCACATTCTGGACAACTGGTATCTTCTAGATTGAAACATCCTAGGTAACCCAGCTCTGTTACCAGATACCAGAGAGATAAGAGTTGGTACTGTTTGTTTTTGTGGGAATATTAGCCTCTCTATGTTAGACTACTTCTTTCAGCCTTATTGCTTTCATGCCATCAAAATATCAATGGTTTTCAGAAAGAGTTGTGTAAAACACCATGGTGTCTAATCCATTTTTCATGTTTTGTGATTGCAGTTGTTTCTTGTCATTGCTGTTGGTGGCTGCCGTGGTGTGGAAAATCAAACAAACCTGCTGGGCTTCTCGACGGAGAGAGGTATCTGTAACACTGGGGATTCCTATGATAGCTTTTGTTCTGCTTTCTGTCTCTGAGAGAATTCAGCACTGCAGGTGAAATGCAACTTGCTTGTCACACCTGGGAAATTAGGCAAATTCTTTTCACATACATCTCTTTCCTTTATGTTATGGCAGACCAGGTTGTTCCCATTTCTTTGCTTGGGGAAAGATTGTCAGTTTGCTATAAATTAGACCTGTGGAAAATTGTGTTGCTCCTGTTTTCTCCCGAATATTCCCTCCTTTAGAATTATAAATTAAACACAAACCTTTTAAAAATATGGGTGTTAGGTGGCAATTTTTAAAATGTATGCATGCCAAATAAGCTAGAAAATATCCAATAATGTATTTCTCTTAATCTTTTCCCATGTTTGTGCTCTGCCCTGCTCTACCCTAACTGTTCTCTCTCCTTTCAGATTCCACAGATATCACTAATTGGTTTAGGATGTTTTCCAAGCTTGGAGAGAGGAGCAGGCTTTAATCTGGGGTGGGGTGGGGAGTAATTTCCATTAATACTTTGGAAATAGAGTTGCCAGCAGTGTTAGTTCTAGGTAGCCAGAAGGAAGAAGGGAATTTTCCAAGCTTTCTAAATTGTCCCCAATGCTGTTTCATCACAGATTTGCCCACAACCTCTGGTGGTAGTCTTTAAAAGCTAAGTGATCATGGTGGAAAAAGCGAGAAAGAACTAGGTTTCTGACAATGGAAAGACTGGTTTCTAGTTAGAGTTGCTTGGGAACTCAGCTATAAATGTGTGTTCCATACCAGCTTTGCCTTCCTGAACTTCCATGGACATGTTTGTTTGTTGTGGTGGAAGCACAAAAGAGACGCACACACAGAGAGAAATACACATTAAATAAAATGCTTTCTCCTGTACCTATTCCTTTGTAGTGCCCAGGCCATGGCAATAAATTGGAGTGAATTTTAATTACAGGTATAAATCAAAGCCTCTTCTTGTTTTTGGTGAAAACCTGAAGAAAATGTTTCTTTTCTCTGTATGCCTCCAAACCTTACAGGGTTTATTTGGTGGCCTTTTTGTTCTCTGAGTACAAAAGGCCAGTCTGTCTGCAGTTATTACAATTCCTGTGCAAAATAGCACATTTCCTGTACAAGATTACCATGAAGAGGCATTGAATTGTGGAGAATTTGGCACTTTTCTTATGCAAAAGAGAGAAAAAACAAAAACAAAAACAAAACTGGGGAAAAAAAAATCAAGATTTTGTTTTCATGTTCTACTGAAAGATGTCTCTGAGGCAGAGGAAATGTCTCAGCAAGAAGTCTTTGCTTGGAGACTTGAAGCCATTGGCAATGGTGCGGCTAAAAAATATTGTAAATAAAATAAATAAATAAAGGGATGAGAAATATTTCGAATATCCTAACATCCCTAGTTTAATTGCTGCAAACAATTGATGCACTGCATAGTTTAAAACAACTAATTCTACAAAGACTTACCACTTTAAAGTTGTTTCATGTTATCTAGAATACTTGAGTGTAATAGCTGAGTGAAAATCATGTCATATACTTCTCTTTACGTTTTTACAAGCAGACTATTGGCTAATTTCTTATTGTATTCTGTTAATTCTCTTATGGTACTTACAACATGAATAAAGAAAGAATAATTGTAATATTGCTATAGTATTTGCATACACAATAGAGTGCATTGATTTGGTCTTCCTCACATGTGTATCACCTAACCCAGGAAAGAATAAATGGAAGGGATCATGTGTATCTCCCAAAGCAGTGATCGGAGAGCAGTGATGGAGTAAAAATGAAAATCCTGGGGGTTATGAGCAGAGTGCTACCCCCCTCCCCCCCCCCCGCAGCTGAACCTCAAACTGGAAGCCACCTCTCCCTCCTTCCTTGGTTGCAACACTTGTAAATCCTCCGTTCTTTTAGAGATTGGTGATAAGGCTACTTGATTGGTTACAGCTGTGGAACAGCCACGGCAGTCAATCCAGCTTGTGAATGACTGCTTCCGCTGGAGGTGACTGCAAGCAGGAGGAGGGAAAGCTCCAATTAGGAGGGAAAGCTCCAATTGAGGCAGGGAGAAAGGTGCGAGAGAGTGACAGGTGGCTTCATCAGTTTGTTTAAATGTATGTAGAAAATGGAGAGAGGGTGGGTGGATGTGTGTGTGTATGAGAGAGACGGAGACTGGCTCAAAACTGAAAAAAGGAACAGGCAAGAAGGACAGAAGGCTTGAATTAAGGGGGGAAAGGGTGGCTTCATCAAGTTTGTTTAAATGTAATGAGAGGAAATGGACATACTGAACTGAAGCAACTAATTGTTGAAAATTGAAGGAAGAAGGGTTTTTGTGTGTGTATGAGAGAGAGAGAGAGACTATTTCATAAAACCATGAAAAAAGGAGCCTTCTGAAATTTAATCTTCACTGCATTTAGCTCTGCAGTTTCTGTTGAGAACAGCAGACGCCTGAAGTGTGTAGCAATCACATTTCTCTGTTTCTCATCCCCAAAGCAGACAAGAGTACCATAGTTTATTCCCAGAATCTGAATCCCAGTCTTTCTGCTCCTGGTCCTACTTTGACTGCAGTACCAAACAAAAGACTGTGGGTTTCTTTATTGAGTTAATCCATCCATCTCATGTGCAGTCTTCCTCTTTTCCTACTACATTCTATTTTTTCCTGAATTGCTGCCTTATCCAGTGAACTTCTTATGATGCCACTGTAGTACAGTACCTTTTGTTTGGGTATTTTAGTTTCTAGTGAATGTTCACACTTAATTTGCTTTACTTATCTTTCTGACAAGTCATAATAGGTTTGTCATCGCTTTCCTCCCAAGAAGCAGGGGTCTTTTAATTTCATGGCTGCTATCACCATCTGATCATGGAGCCCAAGAAAGTAACATCTGCCACAGCCTCCCTATATTTGCCAGGAGGAGATGGGACCAGTGGCCATGATATTCATTTTTTTGATATTGAGCTTCAGACCATTTATGCCGCTCTCCTCTTTCACCCTCATTAAGAGGTTCTTTAATTTCTCCTCACTTTCTGCCATCAGAGTGGCCATCATCTGCATATCTGAGGTTGCTGATATTTGTTTCAGCAATCTTAATTCTGGTTTGGGATTCATCCAGTCCTGTCTTTCGCATGATGTATTCTTCATATAAGTTAAATAAGGAGGGGGACAATATATAGCCTTTCCATACTCCTTTCCCAATTTTGAAACAATCAGTTGTTCCATATCCAGTTCTAGCTGTGGCTTCCTATCCTACATATACTGTAGATTTCTCAGGAGACAAATAAGGTGGTCAGGCATTCCCATTTCTTTAAGAACTTGCCATAGTTTGTTGTGGTCGACGCAGTCAAAGGCTTTTGCATAGTCAATGAAGCAGAAGTAGATTTTTTTCTGGAACTCTCTGGCTTTCTCTATAATCCAATGCATGTTGGCAATTTGGTCTCTAGTTCCTCTGCCACTTCGAAATCTAGCTTGTAGTTCTGGGAGTTTTCGGTCCACATACTGCTGAAGCCTACCTTGTAGGATTTTGAGCATAACCTTGCTAGCATGTGAAATGAGTGCAATTGTACGATAGTTGGAATATTCTTTGGCACTGTCCTTCTTTGGGATTGAGATGTAAACTAATCTTTTCCAATCCTCTGGCCACTGCTGAGTTTTCCATTGATGATGATTAAAAAAATAGCACAGTGGTCCTTTGATATTGGGCTGTGGCACTAGGGTGGGTGACATGCTCTTTAGCCTGGTTTGTTCCTTTTTGCACATCACACACAGAATGATTAAAGTGGTAGGAAAAGCCCTCCTCCCCAACTCTGTGTTGGCTGTCTCTAGCAAGCACATCATTGCTAGCACCATTGTGGCAGCCATTGATGATGATTAAATCCTCTGCGAGCTAGCAAAAATTTAACACAACTTGCTAGGCACGTTGGACCCCCTTACTACTCCCTATACCACCCGAAGGCTGGAGTGCAGTGTGTTCCAGCAAAAATAGTGCACATCTTTATTAAATTTGGTGCATCCTGCTAGTTCGATACATAGCCTGGCAGCCATTGATACTGATGATATATCCTGCAAGTTCAGTATACAGGCTGTGTAGATTCAATAATATTTTGATTTCAAATAATAAATTATTTCCTTCCTTTCAAATCAAGGGGGTAATGTCGGTGTATATAAATTTTTTTTGGGGGGTAAAAGGTTAAAAAGTACCCTGACTCCTGTCCTAAAGCAACCATTCTCAGTTGACAAATTAATTTTTTTTAAATAATGGGTTGGATTATTGTCTCCTTCAAGACAGTGGCAAATATCGGCGTGGTGGCGCTGTGGACTAAACCGCAGAACCCTGTGCTGCAGGGTCAGAAGACCAAGCAGTCGTAAGATCGAATCCACGCGACGGAGTGAGCGCCCGTTGCTTGTTCCAGCTCCCGCCAACCTAGCGGTTCGAAAGCATGCAAATACGAGTAGATAAATAGGTACCATCTCGGTGGGAAGGTAAACAGCGTTCCGTGTCTAAATCACACTGGCCATGTGACCACGGAAAGATTGTCTTCGGACAAACGCTTGCTCTATGGCTTGAAGAGCGGGATGAGCGCCGCCCCCTAGAGTCGGACACGACTGGACAAAAATTGTCAAGGGGAACCTTTACCTTTACCTTTAATGAGAAGTTCACAATCCGAATGGTCCATTCAACCATCACTGCCCTGCCTGATTTTAAGAGCCAGAAGTGGCATGGGTCTAGTTGGGAAGTGGTGGCCTTAGAGCATGTACGTACCTTGTCCACATCATCAGGCGGCACAAGCTGAAACTGATCCAGTAAAACTGGACAGTTCTATTAGATCAGTTTCAGCTCTGTATACTGCCCAGCCGACATCTTCAACCACCCTCTTCTACTGTTCTGGATACTAATTCACTGCATAATTTTAGGTGTGACTGAGCTTCAGTTTATGCATCACAATCCAATTTATTTCTGATCACAGACATGTATTTATGAATAACATCATATCCATACATGGATTTTATGA